CTGTTTCTGTGGTTGGGAGAGAGGAAGATGTGGGTGGGAGAGAAGTCTCCGTGGACAATGTACCTGTCACACTTGTGGAGCAGGTGATTTTGGTTGTGGAGTCTGTCACAGTGCTGGTGGCAGAAGTAGGGTAGGTGGGCTCAGATGTAGGTGTAGACCTGGTGATGGTAGTGGGGAGTGTGGTCACCAAGGTATATAGAGGAGTGGTGTTTGTGATACCACTGGTGATTGTTTCTGTGCTCAGGACAGGTGTGGAAGATAAAATGGTACTGGTGGGTGATGACAGTGTATTGGTGGCTGTGGGCCAGGAGGTGGTCGTTGTCACAGAAGTCACTGTTTCTGTGGAAGTGATTGAAGAAGTGACGTGGGAAGTGGAAGTCACCACTGTTTTGAGAGTAGTAAATACTGGGGCTGGGGACATGGTCGTATGGACGCTCCCAGTGGGCTGGGGAATCCTTTCTGTGGTTTTAATTGTAGAGAAGACCATAGTGTGGAAGGTTGTGTCTGTGACTGACACAGAGGAGGAGGGTGTCACTGTCACTATGGGAGTTTCCCTTGCAGAGGTGGTAGAGAGAGATGTCACGGCTGATGTTCCTTTCTCGGTAGTGGTCATAGGGTAAGTCCTGGTGAGGGTGGTCACTGGCTTCTGTGTCACGGGAGTGGGGGTGTAAGAGCTGGTGAAGGCCACCTGCGTCGTGGTCACACAGATGGAGGTGGGGTGGGAGATGGTGATTGTAAAGCTCGTTGGATACACGCACTCAGTGGTGGCCGAATAGACCAACACAGTGGGTGGAGTGGTTTCAACCTTGAAAGCAAACTTGGACGTCGGGGTGGTTGAGGTGTTGGAACTGACTGGAGAGGTGAGCAGTGTTTCAGAGATGAGTGTGTCATGGGGGGAGGTAATGAGCGTCATAGGTGCATTTTCCCTGTGGCCAGGAGCAGGCGAGGCGAGCTGGGGGACACCGAGTGGCCACCCAGCCAGGTCTCTGGAGTATGGAGAATTGCTGAGCACAGCGCGGGCTGCTTCCGCCCTGGGGAAAGGCACATGAGAGATGGATGTGGCCGTAGATACAGTTCCTGCATTGGCAGCAGAGCAGAGGAATCCACTGGTAAGTCCGTGGGTCATTTTGTCACATCACTCATGTAAGTTACTCACTCACTCCCATTTTCCAGGCAGCATCACAGAGGGCAGGGCATGCCGCAGCTCACTCCTGCATCAGAGGCAGCTTGGAGCTGGGCGCTTTGTGGTGCTGGAGCCCACTGCCTGTCTGCTCCTAGGGGAGCAGTGGGGCACGGGAGCGCTCCTTCCTCACCTGGCCTTGGCCTTGTCATGGCCGGTCCTCCTGTCCTGGGATAGCCAAGCTGGGCAGAGCCTCCCTCCTCTTCCTTCCCTCCTCTGGTCACACCCAGGCCCCTCCTCCCTCTGCCCCTTCCTCTCCTCTCCCTGCTGCTGCCTGGAGTCCTCCCATCCCCTCCATTAACCTTCTGCTCCCACCATGGCTTCTCCCCGCACCCCGCTCCTGTCTGAGCTGACTACTCCTTTCAAAGAGAAAAAGAGAGAATATAGCCAAGTCCTAGCAAGGGGCACATCACAACAACCATGAGACAGAGAAAGCTGCACAAAGAGGGCCAGGCGCAGTGGCTCACGCCTGTAATCCCAGCATTTTGAAAGGCCAAGGCAGGTGACCACTTGAGGTCAGGAGTTCGAGACAACTCTGACCAACATGGTGAAATCCGTTCTCTACTAAAACAAAATACAAAAATTAGCCGGGCGTGGTGGCGTGTACCTGTAGCTGAGTCAGGAGAATCGCTTGAACCCGGGAGGCAGAGGCTGCAGCGGGCTGAGATGGCGCCACTGCACTCCAGCCTGGCAGACAGAGCAAGACTCCGTTAAAAAAAACACACACACAAAACTGCCCAGAGAACACCAAGGAGAAACAGAAGCTAAGCTCACACGCGCTAATGACTTCAAAGGGCATGGAGTGAGGACCACGCGGAGAGGTAGAGAGACAGGATGGAGAAGGAAACTTCCAGAAGGAGCTACCTCAGCAGTCAGGCGTGATGAGTTCCGGAGACCTTAAGGCTTAGCAGTGAGTGTTCATCACAAAAATAGACATAATTTTCTATAACTATTCCCTTTTGGCCATGGGATTCATTCGTTTACAAGCATGAACCCCAGCATGTGGATTTCAACCCATTTCACAGTTGGTGACAGTTAGGATCAGAGATCCAGCTGTCAGAGGTGTCGGGGAGGAGGAAGACAGGCAGCCACAGCAGATGGGAAGTGGGAAGTACCCGATCTGATACCCCTCACCTCAGGCACAGCCCATCTTGTGGCTGAGAGCTGTTGTGTCACGTCTCAGCCTAGCTCGTGGGTGCCAGGGAAGTGGGGTCAGGGATTATGAGAATCCCCAGACTACAGCCCTTGGCTCCAGGATGTGGCCCTGGAGGTGACTGAGAAGAGGATTCATGGGCCTCTGGCTGGGTGGCCTGGGATCGGGGATCAGAAGCAGACACTGAAAGACAGAGAAAAGAGAAGTACAGAGGAATTGCGGGGTGTTCCTGCAGGGCAGAAGAGAGAAGCCTGGTACCCCATGCTGGGTAGTCTCAGACGCATCCCTGAAAGTGAAGCAGACTTCAGGAGCTCCCTGCCCGGGCCCTGGTACCAACAGCTGTGCCCAGACACATGGGCTCTGGCCGGGGTGAGAGAGTGATGGCAGAGCTGGGGAGGAGCCGCTGGGGGACAAAAGGTAAAGAGGCTGAAAGCTGAGGACAGAGACCAAGGGCAGAAGTTAGAGGGCTGTCAGGGAGGGAGAGGCCAGTGTGGACAGGGCACTGGATCTGGGGGCGTGAGGTGGGTGACAGAAGTAGCCAAGGCAGGAAGGCCACTGCTCTGGGAAGATCTAAGTCCCACCCTCCACCCTCCAGCGGCAGATACACGTTGGAGTGCAGCCCCTGCAACCTGCCCAGTGCTTGGTGGAGAATGGCAGCAGGGACCCACTCTTTCCCAATCTCGGTTTTTCCTGCACCTGAAGCTCTGGGAGAAACCTCTCCTCATCGCCCCCTCCCCGCATCAGGCCGTGCCTCGGTTCTGTCTGCACCCAGAGCTCCAATCGGCGCCTTCTTATCCCGCCTCCCCAGGCCCCACAGCCACCTTTCCCTCCTGTTTCCTGGAATATCATATCAGGAACTTCTCTCCATTCCCCTCCCACCTCTCCTCCTTACCCGTGGCCCCTGGGGAGGCCTTGAGCATCCAGAGGAGGTAGAGGAGCCCCAGCAGCTGCATGAGCCCAGCGGGCAGAGGACTGGGGCAGAGCAGCCTTCAGGATCAGGACAGCGGCAGGGACGTGGCCCTAGGGCATGCACTTAATGAAAGCGTCCGTTACCTGTTTTGCTGAGCGTCAGGGCTGAGCGCAGCCTCACCTTTGCACCGCCGCACCTCACCCCTTTTCCTCCCTTCTCCGTGTATCCGGACAGACTGACGTCAGCGCTGTGGGAAGCGGAACACCGGGAAAAAGACAGGACAAGTCCAGAAAGTGTCTGGCAGAAAGAGTTGCTATTGGCTCAGCCCCACAGCCTACCTGGCTCACGTGGAGCTCCCTGAAAGCTTCCCTTCCTCCCCGACACTGGTGGAGGGTACCCTTGACGGAGGGCGTGGACTCTGGAGTCTGCATCGACTCCTGCAGCCTCTCCTTAGTTTTCAATTCCTCCTGCTGAGGCAGTGCAACCTCGCTCTCCTTCAAGCCCCTTCTGTCCCTCCGTTTGCCCCTGCTCCATCCTGCTCCCGGCAGGACCCCACAGGCCACACAAAAACGTGGGAGTAATTAACACAGAATTCCCTCTGAAGTCATTTTATTATCTGAAGAGTTGGGGCTAGGTCCCAGAAAAGGAAACACGGATGACCAAAGGAAACACTCAAAAATACTAGTCTGGGCCCAGCACGGTGGCTTGCGCCTGTATTCCCAGTGCTTTGCGAGGCTGAGTAGTGTGGATCACTTGAGGTCAGGAGTTCGAGACCAGCCTGGGCAACATGGCAAAACCCCATCTCTACTAATAAGCTGAGGCAGAAGAATCGCTTGAACCCAGAAGGTGGAGGTTGCAGTGAGCTAAGATCACACCACTGCACTCCAACCTGAGCAACAGAGCGAGACTCCATCTAAAAAAAAAAACTAGCTTGGACCTAGCACATTGTTTGACCTATCCAGTTTGGGCAAAGTTGTGAAGAATAAATGTTCTTACCCTGCTGGTGGGTGTGTAGGTGGGTTGGGTTGCTTTAAAAGGGTGATTTGAGGATCGCTTGAGGTCAGGGGTTCAAGACCAGACTGGCCAACATAGTGAAACCCCGTCTGTACTAAAAATACAAAAATTAGCCTGGCGTGGGGTGGGCACCCGTAATCCCACCTATTCAGGAGGCTGAGGCAGGAGAATTGCTTGAACCTCAGAGGCAGAGGTTGCAATGAGCCAAGATCATACCTCTGCACTCCAGCCTGGGCAACAAAGCAAAACTTCATTTCAAAAATAAGATAAAATAAAACAAATGTTCTTATCCAGGTGGTGGGTGTGTAGGTGGGTTGGGTTGCTTTAAAGGGGTAATTTGGTGGCATCTATTAAAATTTTAAATGTGTGCCTTAAGACCCAGCAATTTCACTCTCCATCTCTGTGTCCAAGAAGCCCTTCAAGGAAGCATTCACAAGGATGTTTATTGACTCTCAATTATGGCAATTCTGACGGAAATTGGAAACAACCCAAACGATTGTTTCAATCCAGAAAGAAGATGGAATAGTCACCCTACAGAACACTATGCTCAGGCCAGATTCTGTGGCTCACACCTTTAATCTCAGCACTTTGGGAGGCCGGGGCAGGAGGATCTCTTAAGCCCAGATGTTCCAGGCCAGCCTGGGCAACATGGAAAGACCCCACCTCTACAAAAAAAAAAAA